ACCCATCTGTCAGTGAACCCAGGAGAACTTCTCCTGAGGGCTTGTGTGTCTTGCTGATGTTTCATTGCCCTTTTGTGACAATTTGCCAAGGGCAAGAAAGAGTTAGAAGTAAATCCCAAACTGGGTGGTTGGTGGCGCACGCCTTTAATCCCAGCGCTCAGGAGGCAGAGGCAGGGGGATCTCTGTGAGTTTGAGACCAGCCTGGTCTACAGAGAAAGTTCCAGGACAGGCTCCAAAGCTACACAGAGAAACCCTGTTTCAAAAACCAAAATGAATAAACCCCAGCTAGGCCGCATTCAGGAGGCAAAGGTGGATCTCTGTGAGTTCAAGGCCACCCTGCTCTACACAGTGAGTTCCAGGACAGTCAGGGCTGTGTAGAGAGACCCTATCTCAAACACACACAGAGAGAGAGAGAGACACACACACACACACATGCACGCACGCACGCACACACGCACACAAGCCTCAGAAGTTTCCCATTCAGCGTCCAGAAGGAGGAGAGAGTCAGATGGGGTGAGGCATAGACATCAGAAAGACTGGTACTCACCCCGGGGCCGTTTTTTACCCTTTGATACATTTCTTAATTTGTGGAGACATTTTTTAAGTTTTAAAATTACGTTTATGGATGTGTGTGTTCATGCACGTTGGCATGTGCATGCCACAGCGTTTGCGTGGAAGCCAGCAGACACCTTGTGGGAACTGGCCCCCTCCTGCCGTGTGCGCCCTGGGGATTGAACTCAGGTCACCTCGAGCTTGGCAGCAGTTGTCCTTTAGCTGTGGAGCCATCTTACTGGCCCTGGGGACGTTTTCGGTTGTCACAATGGAGGGAGCTGATGCTAACGTTGTCTGTTGGGCAGAGCAGGGGTGTATGTCACAAAGCACAGGACAGTCTTGTGGGAACAGCCTCAGATGTCAAAGGCACCAGGGTTGAGAATCCCGGGGAGCGGGGTGGGGGATGGGTCAGGAGGACGAGAAGTCCTGGTAGGGACACGGGTGCCTGAGATCTACCTAACAGTGGGATTGCTGGATCTCATGGTGGTTTGGTGTTCTGACTTGCTTGTTTATGTATGTATTTGAGACAGAGTCCCAGATGGGCTAGCTCCAGCTCATCCTAGCTGAGAGTAGCCTTCAACTCCCCATCCTCCTGCCTCCACCTCTCCCTTACTGGCAAGGTAGGCATGCACCTCATGTCTGGCACTGTGTTCTCTTTCTGTTTTTCGTTTTGTTATACAGGGTCTTTCTGTGTAGTCCTAACTGCCCTGGACCAGGTCTGCCTCAAACTCACAGAGGCTCACCCGTTTCTGCCTATGCCACCCTCTAGGCCTCACACACTGTCCCTTTTAAGGTCCCCCATCTATACTGCCGTCCTTAGTGCTTGCTCCGGGTTAAACTGTCAGCAGCAGTGGGCGGCACCTCACCCACACTTCTTGTTTTGCCCCTGTATAAGTTTTCCATTGCAAGTATGGAGAAAGGGTTGGTTTGGGCTCAACATATTGGAGGTTCTAGTCCACCTGCTTCTGCCTCCCGAGTGCCGGGATTAAGGGCGCGCCACCATTGCCTGTTGGGATGACTTTTGGTCCTACAAATTAAATATACTCCCTCTAGTAGTGCTCCATTTCTCTGTGTAGTCTCCCTCTCCAGCCCCTGGATCTCTGGGACTGTCTGTCTGTGTGGGGTCAAACCCCCTGCAGATAGCCTGTGTTTCCTTCTCCTCTTTGTGCAACTGTTTGCTCTGGCTAGAACTCCTGGACAGGTGTCTCTCCCAGGTTCATCTCTGGTCTTAAGGGGACATCATTGCTATTTTAAGAGCCCCTTCTGAGCTAGGCATTGGTGGCACATGCCTTTAATCCCAGCACTTGGGAGGCAGAGGCAGGTGGATCTCTGCCTCCAAAACAATACAGAGAAACCCTGTCTCGAAAAACCAAAAAAAAAAAAAAAAAAGCGAGCCCCTTCTGCCCTTCTGTTCCTGGTTCTATAAATGTCTTTTTTTTTTTTAAAGTCAAGAAAAGGTATTGGACTTTATCAATTTTTTTTGTGTGTGTGTCAGTTGAGACAACCACCGTTTTGATGCTGAGTCACTCTTGACTCGATTTTCTTTAAAAAGAAACTCGATGACCTTAAAAGAAGATAAAACCCAAGTTTGTGCCCTACCCAGAACTATACCCTGGCCAACAGTTCAGAGATCCAGCTGCCAAGAGGTAATGAAGTCCATACATTTCCAGGAAGACTTAAGAACACTTCTCCTTGCCCTAAAGAACATTGTGTTGAAATCACAAAAAGAGATGATGTTTAGCCTCTACAGGGATCTGCCTGTGCCGTGTGTCCTGATTTTGTGGTGTTTCTGACATAAGCACAATAGCATCAGTTCCTTTATTTCCTCTTTGCAGGTCCCTGTGCTCATCCCAAGGCTGCACACATGCTTGGCAAGCACCTGCTCCTCAGCTACAGCCTCAGCAGGCAGATTTGGTCCAACCATGTTGAGACATGTACAAATTAAGATTTAAAAAAAGATTTATTATGTATAGTGTTCTGCCTGTGTGTATCCCTGCAGGCCAGAAGAGGGCACCAGATCTCATTACAGATGATTGTGAGGCACTATGTGGTTGCTGGTACTTGAACTCAGGACCTCTGGAGGAGCAACCACTGCTCTTAATCTCTGACTCATCTCTCCAGCCCCCAAGTCAAGATTTTTTTAAAAATGTACTTATTTGTGTGTGTGTGCATGGTGTGTCTATGGAGGTCAGAGGACAATTTTCCTGGGAATTGGTTTTCTCCATCCTCCTGATTTTTTGTTTGTTTTGTTTTGTTTTTTGAGACAGGCCTAGAGTTCACTCTGTAGACCAGACTGGGCCTCTAACTCACAGAGATCCACCTGCCTCTGCCTCCCGAGTGCTGGGATTAGAGGCGTGCGCCCAGCCCACCTGCTGTTTTTTGAGGCAGTGTCTCTCTGATTCTACCATTGTTCTGCTGCACCCACAGGAGTGCTGGATTCCAGGCCTGCCACTACAGCCAGCTTTCATGTGGGCCCTGGGGACTGAACACAGACCTTTGAGCTTACATAGCTAGCACTTTTACTTGCTGAGCTGTCTCCCTGGACCCAAATCCCATATTTTTTTTAGGACATTTCCCTCAGACAGTCATTATCTGCTCATCAGAGGACAGAGCTGTGAGAGGAAGAACTGTGGGTTAGAAATCAGAACATTCGAATTCACTCATCCTACACACACGCTTGCTCAGCCCGAAGCATGTACTACACTCCAGACCCCAGGGCTGGCTCCCTGTGGTTCTGTCGAATGTCCATTCTAGGTGTGAACACCTGGATCAGGTGTACTTGCTTTGGGTCAGGATGCAGTCCGTCCTCCAGGGCATGAGGACAGCAGTGACACTAGGAGGAGGAAGCTAGCCACAGCAGTGATACTGATCCTGGGTGGTTTGTAGCCTTTCTGGACTCCTCAGCTGATTGTGGGAGCCTCCACAGTTACCAAAATCCCTCCATACAGTGGTGTGTTTACCCGGTGCCTACACACAGCCCCTGCATACCCCAATCTCTGGGTTATTTATAACACCCCTCATACGGTATAAATGCTACACAGAGAGCTGTTAGGCACAGAGAACCATGACAGAAAAGTCAATGTGCAATTCCATAGATCCAATTTCCTCCAAATGTTTCAGCATGGTTAGTTAAATCTGCAGAGGAGGTGTAGAGGGTCAGCAATGTAGCTTAAGTCATTTATGTAGCACACAAGCCATTACATAGCAGACCATCCATTTGCATAACACACAAGTCATTTACATAGCACTCAAGCCATTTATTTACAAAGCATACAAGTTATTTTCAGATCACAGAAGTAATTTACATAGTATACAAGCCATTTATATAACATATAATGCCAATGCAAATAAAATAAAAAAGAACAAATTAGTCAAGAGCCACTCTTGCAGAGAACCCAGATTCAGTCCCAGCATCCACATGCTGGCCCACAACCATCCCTCACTCCAAGAAGTCTGATGCTCTCTTTTGACCTCTGAGGGTACCAGGTACACACATGGTGCACATACATGCATGCAGGCAAAATACTTATATACATAAAATAAATACATCCTAAAGAAAATAGAGCAAGCCAGTGCTGGTAGTATGCTCAGAGTGTTTGTCGTCACAGTCGACATTAGAACGTTCTCATTTTTCGTCTCCCCGAACAGAGATGATGTATGTTTTAGCCCTCTCCCCCATCCCACTGTCCCTCAGTAACCACTAATCTCTCTGTCTGCATGGATCGGCCTAGTCTGGACATTTTGAAGAAACGGAATTATAATCTGTGGTTTTTCATGATCAGCGTGAGGTCTTCAGATTCAGCCGTGTTGCAGTGTGGATCACGGATGGCTCGTTCCTTTTTTGTGGCCAAGTAATGCTCCATTATGTAGACGTACCACATTTTGTTTATTCATCGGTTGAAAGATATTTGGCTTTTGTTTTTGAAACAGGGTCTCAGTATGCATCCTAGGCTGGCCTCGTACTCACGGGGATCCATCTGCCTCTGCCTCCTGAGTTTTGGGATCAAAGGTATATGCTACAATGCTGGGCCTTAAAAAACATTTGAATAGTTTCCACGTTTTTGATGTAGTAAATAATGCTTCTGGAACAAGGTCCTTTATGGTATATCCCTTCTCATGTGTGGCTTATGTTGAGCATATGTTGGTGTGTGATCTTAAAATATTGGAGAGTATAATTTATAAAGAACAGATACATCCTTTCTAGTCACCTCCCCGCACTGTTTAATTGGGAATCATAATGAACTTTGGGAGGACACATTCAAGCCACATCCAGGAGGTTAACAGCATGCCCTGGGCCACAGAGCATGGTAGGAACTGAGGTCAGAGGAGAACCCTATTTCTCTGCTCAGTGTTACTCCAGTACAGGGACCCCAATACCCTTGTCCCATGTGCTGCATTAGGAGAGAAATCTGTTGGTCATAACTGTGAGCTCTCTCTTCTCTTGACAGGTTGTCTGAATGGTCTTGCTTCTCTTCCTAACCTGCCTGGTTTTCTCCTGCCTGACCTTTTCCTGGTTAAAAATCTGGGGGACAATGACAGACTCCAAGCCACCTACCCAAAGTGAGGCGAAAGCGAGCCTCTTTTCAAGTGAGGAGACCTTTCCAGACTCAGACAGGTCAGGGGAGCCACTGCAAACACAGGACGACTGCAGCTCTCTGCCAAAGACTCCTGACCAGGAGGAGCCAGCCTCCCATGGAGGTCCCAAAGATGCCAGTTGGCAGGAGAACGCCCTGCCACCCTCACATCGGAAGCCTCCAAGGAACCCTCTGTCTTCCAGTGACAGCTGGCCCTCCCCAGAACTCCAAACTAACGGGATAGCAGCCCAGGGCCCAGAGGTCCCAGATACCAAAGGTTTATCCTTCCCAGCCAGGCCTCCAGGCCAGCAAGCCAAATCCCCCTCCAGAGAGGACAAGAAGCAGGCGCATATCAAGAGACAGCTGATGACCAACTTTATCCTGGGCTCCTTCGATGACAATTCCTCTGATGAGGACTCCAGCGCTGCCTCCTTTAGGGATTCTCCTCGGAAGGGTAGCAGGCCCAGCCTGGGCACCCTGTCCCTGGAGGCTGTACTAAACTCAAGTGACCCTGAGTCCCACGCACCTACTATGAGGTAACTAAGAACCTCTTTATACTGGGAGATGGGAGAGAACTCGGAGTAACATGTGTATCCTTGATTTGCAGTAGGATTTGCATCCTTCCCTGGCTCCTCCCTCCAATCTGCCAACACCCGAGGGTAGCTGTGTGGAAGAGAAGGCAAGACCTGACTTCCTTGCTTCCCGCTCCCTCCTTTCAGAATCACTAATTGAGCACCTGCTGTGTGCACAGTGCCCAGTGCTAGCAAAGTGGCTTTCTAGAGCTCTCAGTCTCCTGGGGAAGATGATCCCGTGGGTGACCAGTTACCAGCTAAAGAACCCCAAACAGCCGGGCGTTGGTGCCTCACACCTTTAGTCCCAGCACTCGGGAGGCAGAGGCAGGTGAATCTCTGTGAGCTCGAGACCAACCTGGTCTACAAGACCTAGTTCCAGGACAGCCTCTAAAAGCCACAGAGAAATCCTGTCTCAAAAAAAAAAAAAAAAAAAAAAAAAAGAACTCCAAATAGAGTGGTTTAATCCTAGCACTCAGGAAGAAGAGTCAGGTGGAGCTCTGTGAGTTCGAGGTCAGCCTGGTCTACAGACTGAGTTCCAGGACAGCCAAGGCTACATAGAGAAATTCTGTCTTGCAAAACAAAAAGAATTTCATTGGTTCTGAGAAGTTCAGGAGTGGGCTTAGGCCCTGCCACCTACCTGGTGTGGGCCTGGCATAGCATCCTAATATGGCAACATGCCAGCTCAGGTCCCACTTCCTCTTCTTACAAAGCCATCAGTGCCATCATGGGGTGAGGGTCACATCCTCATGCCCTCATCTGATCCTAATTCCCCAAGGCCCCGTCTCCAGACATGAGTTCAACATGAGAACTTTTCGGGGACGGGGTGTTACACTCACGCTCCTATAATCTTGGGATACTAGTTTGTGTAGAAGGACGCCCAGACTAGAGGTTTAGCTGATGATCTTGGCTTTTGCCCATTTTTGCCCTGGGAGATGGCCTGGGAGACGGCCTGGGAGGTGGCCTGGGAGATGGCCTGGGAGACAGTCTGGGCGACAGTCTGGGTGTCTGCCCGGGGCCCTGCCTTTCTGTGAGAACAGTGGAAGAAAGGACATGTCTGGGGCCTTTTGCGGTTTCTGTCAAGCCCTCTGGCTCCAGCTCTGCCGCAGGCGGTCACCTCCTGGATGGACCTCTTCCTGCTGGATCACCATGGCAGGCGGAAGCACCTTCTCTTCCTACTGTGTCCTTACCTTCCCAGAGCCTGCCCTCCCCTCTTGGCTCTGTGCTCCTTCTACACTAAAGGCTCCTTTGTTCCCACCAGGGCTGGCTGTCCCACAGCAGGAATCTGTACCCTTCTCTTCTCTTGTTTATTGAGACAGAGTTTCTCTGTGTAGCTTCTGCAGTCCTGGAACTCACTCTGTAGATTTAGACGAAGTCGCAGAGATCCACCTGCCTCTGCCTAGTGCTGGGATTAAAGGCCTATGACAACTATGTCCGGCTTGGAACTTGCACTTTCAGGGGAAGACATGTGCTTTGACTCTGCTGTCAGTATCTTAGAATTCCTGGTGGTGTCAAGGGAGGACTGGCCTCCTACTTTTCATTTTGTAACGAGTCCTGCCATCCGTGCTCCCTGTCCCTGACCCACCTTTAAAGTATCCAGATCCTAGTTTCTTTATCTCCCACTCTGTTTTTACAACTTCAGTTATGACTTTTATGTCTTTATTTTGTTCCTTGTGTGTCACCTCTCTCCTGTGCTGGGAAGCAAGTCCCTGAGTGCAGGATCTGTCTTTCCTCACCGCCTAGCCCAGCACTGGCTGAAGGTAGCCTTCGAGCATTTGCCAAATGCCCGGACAAAATAAGCAATGTGTGCTCTCTACAGACAAAATCTGCATTCTGGACATGCAAAATACTTGGACAAATGTGGAAACCAATAGATGGATGGATGGATGGATGGTTGATGGATCACTGGGTAGATAGGTAGACAGATGGATGAATTGGGTAGATGAGTAGATGGGTAGATGAATGGATGAGTGGGAAGTTAGATGAATAGATGGATGGGAGACAGATGGGAGACAGGTTGATAGCTGAATGTGTGGTGGTGACTAGATGGATGGACGAATGGGTAGGTGGATGGATGGATGAATGGGTAGATGGATGGATGGATGAATGGGTAGATGGATGGATGGATGAATGGGTAGATGGATAGATGGATGGGTAGATGGATGGATGGATGGGTAGATGGATGAATGGATGGATGGGTAGATGATGGATGGATGGATGGATGGGTAGATAGATGGATGGATGGATGGGTAGATGGATGGATGGATGAATGGGTAGATGGATGGATGGATGGATGGGTAGATGGATGGATGGATGAATGGGTAGGTGGAAGGATGGATGAATAGGTTGGTGGATATCCATGCTCTTTGGCCCTTTCCTGGACTTGCTTGGTCCTTGAGGGTTGAAATTGTCACATAACTCATAGAAACAGATCCAATAAGCACATCATGCTGTGTGCCAAAACATTTACTCATAAACTCTGAAATCCAGGTCCAAACCCTGTATGTACTATGACCCATCCTACTGACTATGCATCCCTAGTCTTGCTCCACAGTGGGTCTGGTGTAAGATACCTGGTTTCCAACCTGCCTCTGCTTCTTGTTTTCCTAACAGGGACTCACCATAGTGTTGACTGCGTGCTGTGGGGTGGATTGAGTGGGACAGGTTGGGTTCAGGATCACGACACTGTGGTGCTGAGTATAAAGCTATGAAGGGAACTTTCTCCGTCAGTGGTGAGATGTCTTTCCTGCTGGCCTGTCCTTTCTGTTGCTGAAACAGCAGTGTGATAACACGGAGAATGCCATTAGCCTTTCTAAAAAACACATTGCAATCCCAAAGCACACTGGGCTCTGGGAGTTTCAAAGAGAGGACCATGTGCTGTGTCATGTACTAGAGCAAGCCTTCAGCATGCAGTAGGCAGAGCAAGTATTTGGATTTTGTGGTCGTGTGTGTGTGGTTGTGGGTGTAGTGTGTATGTTTCAGTGGGTGTGGTATGTGTGTTAGTGTGTGTAGTGTAGGTGTGTGGTCAGGTATGTAGTGTGTATGTGGTTGTATATGTAAGTGCATATATGGTTGTGCTGTAGTGTGTGGTATGTGCAGTATGTGTGTGGTTGTACACATGTGCCACGGAGTATGTGGAGGTCAGAGAACAGTCAGGAGTCAGGTCTTCCACCTTGTGAGTCCTGAGGATCGAACTTGGGCTGTTGCTGTCATCCTGCTCCCCCAAGTGCTGGGATCACAGGCATGTGCCTCCACGAACCGTTTACACAAGGCAGGGCATTGAGCCTGGGCTTCCTGTGTGCTGGGAACACACTACCAGCTGAGCTAGAGCCTTATCCCTTAGTTTTCTTTTGGTGCAAGCAAATTATAGGATGGTTTCATAGATCAGAAAGTGCAGAGAAGTGATTCAGTCGAGATCACATTGGAGGGTAAGGACAGTCAAGCTCATCAATACACAGCTGTCCACCCCACAGCTGTCCTCTTGCAGGTCTGCACGTGTCTCGTCACTGACCAAGATTTTCTTTCTGCAATACCCAGAAGTTTAATTTAGCTGCTGATAGCCCAAGAGAAAGGCTTAAAAATGAGGTGGGGCCCAGCTCCATTAGAGCTGTTTCATTCAAAAGCACAGCGGCTGGAGGGATGGCTCACGCCTGTAATCCCAGCGTGGGAGGCTGAGGCAAGAAGGTTGGGAATTCAAGGCCAGTCTCAGCTACCTGACACCCTGTCTCAGAAAAAAATAAAACTAAAATAAAAAAAAGGGAAAGAAAAGATAAAGAGGAAAACACAACCATTGGTTTTCATGCAGGCAGAGTGGTACACCAGGGTCTTCCTCCCTCCCTCCCTCCCTCCCTCCCTCTCTCTCCCTCTTTCCCTCCCTCCTTCCTTCCCTCCCTCCCTCCCTCTCTCTCTCTTCCTCTCTCCCTCCCTTCCTTCCTTCCATCTTTATTCCTTAATAGTAAACCCAGCCAGGGTGTGGTAGTGGCACATTGAGTCTGGCCTTGCAGAATGGCTGAGGCAGGAGGATGGCCCAAACCCAAGGGTTTAAAGCCAGCCTGGGCAGCAGAAGAAAAACCAACATAGAATTTGACCCCAGTGGTTTCTCAGAATACATGGTTGTGCTGACCTTGGTGGTTTGGAGAAGTGCAGCCCCGGGGATCAGTTGGGGTGGGCTGCATCTGGTTCCTTCTCCACACTAGGCTAGAGTATGGGGCTGGGGAAGAAGACCCCAGTTGTAAAGCGCCACTCTTACTGGCTATAGTGAGAGTCCATGCTGATAGCATGGCCATTGTACCAGTGTCGAGATCAAATGTCTCTGCTGTATCACGACTTGCTGTCTCCTGTCAAAAAAGAATTCAGACAAATCCACGTCAGGCTTGGTGCTGATATTCCCACAGTCTTCCGGCTTCGTAAACTGCTGTCCCCGGGCCTGGGGTGAAAGTTACAGGTGCCTTTCACACTGTTAACAGGGAAGTTAGAATATCCACAGAACATTGAGGGAGACTTGGAAATATGGAGTTAAAAGTCTAGCTGCTGTCAGGAAGCTGCAGAGCAGGGCTCTTCTGTAGGATCCTGAGCTGGCAGGGATGGAGACTTTTGGATATTTATTGGTTTGAAACTTACAAAAAAGAAAAAAGAAAAATCAACCCAATGTGGGTTTCTTTTCTTCTTCCTTCCTTTTTTCCTCCCTTCTTTCTTCTTTTTTCTCTCTCTTCTTCTTTTCCCTCTTCCTCCTCGTCCTCTTCTTTTTTTGAGAAGGTAAAGTTAAAACCATAGGGCAGGGAACCTTCTAGAAAATCTAAATTGAGAATTTTGCCCACTCATTAATGCAGGGCACATCAAACCTCTGCTCTTGTATAACTGGGGCAAGGGTACTTGTTCACATGGTGGTGGGGTGCTTAGTGGTCCCCTAGAGGGAGACCCTGGGCATGGAGCCCATCAAGTGTTATCTAAGCTATGCCCTCAGCCCC